AGAGAGAGAGAGAGAGAGAGAGAGAGAGAGAGAGAGAGAGAGAGAGAGAATCCCGAATGCTGATATTTTTAGTTCCCTCTTGCTCCTTGACTATGAATAGAAATATGACTAAAATTCCTACCGTCTTCAAAGCAGACTTACCTTTAAAGCAAATGCCAAAGGTTTGAAAACTCATTCTAGATGGAATAACATTTGCATGAACAGAGGAGGCCCAGGGAGGGGAGAAGACAGAAACTGCTCTCCGCAGAGTTGAGTTAAGGTCTTCCTCCCTGCCCCCACACCACGAAATCTGCAGGCCCAGAGCCCAGCTCCTTCCAACCAGAGACGTCATGTGTGGCAGGCTCACTGTGGATAGGGGCCAGCCTGGAGTACCCAAGGCCACAGGCCTCAGGGGCTTGTCGCTCTGACAGGGTAATTGGAGCACTTGTGAAACCAGCCGGGTACTCAAGGAAATGACCTGCAGGGCACGCTGGGGAGGAGTCGGATACTTTCCTGTCACCTCCCAGAACCAGGGAGTTGGGCAAGGCAGGGATCCAGGGTAAGAGGTGGGGCTGGGGGTAGGGGAGAGAAGTGTGGAAAATGGAAAACCAAAACCAAAACAGCACTAAGGAATAGATGTGTGCTCAGAGGTGTGTATGTGTGCTCAGAGGGGTGTGTGTGTGTGTGTGTGTGTGTGTGTGTGTCTTAGCCCTTTTGGCTTCTAGATGTGTGTGTCCTCATTCCTGGAACAGTAGTACCAACAGTGGGAAGCCAAACCAGGCCACCAGGACCCGCCCTGAAAGCTCTTGTTACCTCGGGCTCCTCCTGTGAAAACCGCCTTGCATAGCTCAGTGGCACAGTAAGCTGGAGGGACCTCTCTGGCCACTGCCATTTTCACAACTTTTTTTTTTTGGCTGCAAATACTCAAAAGCACCAACACCATACACAGTAATGATCCATTTTGGGTCACAGACAGGAAATACCATCACATTGCATGCATTAAGACTCTGGAGCATAGGAAAAGGTTACAAAAATCACGTAAAGCCCATCACAACACTTAACATCTGGCCAAGCTTCTCTTGCTCTTAGCATCTACTCCCTTGCTCCCTGGCCTTGCCAGACGTACGCAACACAATTCCCAGCTCAGATTGGGTCTGCGGTCACACCATGTGTTCCTATATCCAGTCAGCAGAAAATGGCGCCATTACACAGCACGGGCGGAGACAGATGGAGCTTCTGACTTAGCGCAGCCCTCAGCAGCGTTGTCACTCCCTTTCCTTTGCTGTGGGCCCCATCTGTACCCACAGTCCTCCCTGACCATCGCAGGGGCTCTCTCGATGGAGCTCACTGCCCCCACCCTCCCTTGCTCCCTCTGCAGGGCAGATCATGAGGAGGCCTCCCTGTCATCCCTTCTCACCGCCATCTTCCCAAATGCCTCTCCCATTTTCTCTGTCTCCAGGCTGCCATCTGGATTCTTGTCCTCACCCCTTTGCCACATGACCATGATGGTCTCTGAAGTATTATGCCTTCCTCCTCTCCGTGGCTGTGTCAGTCACATCTTGTGTCTTAGCTCCTAGCCTGTGGTCCTCCCTGTGGATAAGTCAGGGCTCAGCAATGTATCAGCATGCCAGTGGGCCCCCACCTCAGGGACATGCAGGTACACAGGAGCTTTTGGAAGGGGGAAGGATTTGTTGTACCTGGGGACAACTCTTGATGGAGAGGGATAGCAGCCAGGAAGTGAACTGTCCTTACACAGAGGTGACTGGCTCAACAATGCACTCCCAGGTGCATCTCCCCATGTAGCCACCCTTGTTATTGTGATCTCTTGCCAAATCAAAGTGTCTACACCAGCAGCTGTCTCAGGCTCCAAGTTCAGTACAAATGCAAATAAGCCTGGATCCCTTCCCTCCGGGGCTGTTGGTAACTAATCTGAAATGGACCCGCTCTCAGATAAAAACAAAACAGAGAGGTCTGGGCAGGCATTTCATATGCATGGGGTTCTTATGGACACCCTGGGGAGGACACACGACTTGGTCTCAGAGGAGTGTCCTCTGCAGGATAAGAAGGTGGACACAGCAGTGAGAGTGTGACCCAGCAGAAGTGGGTTGCGTGAGATTAACCACTATTGAATGTGCACATTTAATCTCCTTAGGCATCTGGATTTCTTCATAAAGAAGGAAAGAAGCAAAGCTCCACACAGCACGCTTTATTCCATAATATACTCTCTGGCTCACTCATATTTTAGGCTAGTTAATTCCCACATGACAAGACTGTTACACACTTCACAGAGCTGGTTACTTAGTTGGTGTGTATTGGAGTATTTTATGGCAATTTTGCAAGTGGAAAGATGACTTTATGGAGAAGAAAACCCCCCACTATGTTGTGCATCACCTTCAGCACTTGGAGATTCACTGCCGCAGAAAGGCAGGCCAGCGGCACATTGATTGAGATGACATGGAAAGCCTCCCCATGGGCTGTGGGCTCACCAGGAGGGACACTCTCTAGGTGAATGAGAAGCTAAACGTCCGTGCCACTAGGCTTCTAAGCAGCAGGGATTATCCCAGGCGCCCTGAGTCTGGCCCACTGGGGTTTCCAGATTTGCCCTGGCACTGTTGCACCAGAAGCTGTGGTTCCCATTCCTACCATCAGGGCCGCCCCGAGATAAACTCCGTTCTTACCTTGACATTTCTTTTCTGAGTCACTACTCATTTCTCTCACCTAGGATCTACAAGAATGTCCAAGAAGAGATGAAAGTAATCTACAAATTCTTTAGGTCTTGCTACCTCGGCTTTATTTCCACTGTGTTGTGGGTGGTATTGATACTCAAGACTAAGACCATAGTTTTCTCTCTCTCTCTCTCTCTCTCTCTCTCTCTCTCTCTCTCTCTCTCTCTCTCTCTCTCATGTCCTTTGTTTTGTTGTGACTCCTTTGATGCTGCG